CCGAGAAGTCTGAATCCGTGTCGTGTTCTGACGCAATATTTTCGTCCTCTGCAGCACTATCTATATCACTGGCAGTGTTGTCAACTTCACTGTATCACTTGAGGACAGTTTCCTCAAAATTTTTGTCACTTAACCGAACTCTTTTCGATGGACCGGCCGAATTTTAACACTGTGGTATAGGATTCGGCACCAGCCTTAATTTTATTGGTCAATTTCAATGTATTCAACCAATAACAAGCCGGGTGCCGAAATCACTACCGGAATGTTAAACAGTGCTGAGCATGGGGTCAGAATGTTATCAAATTAAGTTTAAATTTACTTAACTTCCGCTAAAAATATGTAAGATAATAATCAACGCACGTTGTTTCCTATTACAATATTTAATGATTTGTAAAATTAATAATTTGGTTTAGCAATAAGAAAAATCTCATGAAAAATTTAAAATTATATATTATAGAAAATAACTGAATTTAAAAAGAATGCAAGGAAATGTAAAAATCTAAAAAATCATATACTTTTTTTGGATTTTTGTATAAATAATCCGCGGGTGGAAAAGTGGTATTTTCCTCCCATGTAATGTAAGAAAAGCTAAGTTCTAATATCTATACACAGAGTGTATTTTCTCATTCAAGTACAGCATTTATCACTTCAGGGAAGAAATTATCACTTTTCGTGAAAAGGTAGTAGAAAATAAACATATTAAATGTGAATGTTTATTGGTCCGTTCAAAAATAAACAAGAAAATTCAAAAAACAAGAATATTCAAAAATAAAAAAGGAAATTCGAAAATTAACAAAAAAATAATGTAATAGGTTTTAGTGACCTGTTCCATGAGACTTAGCATGCGGTACATTTTGCTTTACATTGAGTGCTAAGTTTCTTTTTCTTTTTCTTGGTCCACCTTCTTCCTTTGGTGGCCGACCAATCGGTAACCTTTTGCAACCCCTTGTAATCCCTACTGTACGTCTGCTTATGGAAGTAGGTTGAACTCTTATATTCATCTTAGTACGATGACGAATTGGTACAGAACTTCCAGCTGTACATAGAAAAGATTCCCAAGATGTCCTTGTTTTAATATTTCTAAGTCTCTGTCTACACTTTTGAATGGTTGCCTTTGATGTTGTAAATCGTTTGTTAAGCTGTTGCATTAGTAAGTAAATTTCTTCAATGCCCTTCCTTTCATCTAAAGCCACACTGTTAACAAAATTTGTAGGTGACGTGGGCGTACCAGTTTCGATCGAAATTAACTCATTTCGTTCATCTAAATTCGCATTAATATCAGCAGTTTGTTCAGTGTGCTTGGAAGACGTATTAGAGATCACTAACGGCATGTAAACGAAATAGGTTGAACCTTCTCACCAAATGCTAGTTTGGCCATTTCGTAACGAGATTCTGGCGTTACCGCAGATGCGTTGATGACAGTTTCATCAAAGTAAAAGTATTTTGCAGCCTGATGCTTGCAAAATTTTCCTAATTTACCATCATGACAAGTGCAAACTCCTATGTTTCCATCTATATAATAATATTCACCGCTTTTAGTCGCACTAGGAACCTTAGAAGTTTTAGAACCTGTACACAAAATATCATCCCTTTTAATATTGGAAGCTTTATGTATCAGCTTTTTTAATAACAATGTAGGTGTTGAATTCCTTGAATTAGCAAAATTTCGAATTCTTTTTTGGTAATACTCTTCCAAGCAACTCACTATAAAATCTATTAAAGCAATTGCATTATATGCTTTATTCCGGGATAACACAACATATGTAAAGAGCCGAATGCTCAATTCACAAAAATTGTTTGTTTGGCTTCCGTGTGTAGTTTCATCTCGGTATGCCATACACCAATCTTCACGTCTTTCCAAATATTTTTCAATGTACACCACCCATTGAGGGTATTTTTTCACAGTATTATTTTTTTTTTCATTATCAGAAATATGATTTTGTCCAATTGCAATAGAAAATACTTCAGAAGCGTCTTCAACACTTTCCGATATTAAAACATCTCTAAATAAATTGTTGGGGATGGGACGATCATCTGCACTTATATTATGTTTTTTGCCAAACAACCAGCGCCATACTGATTGCAAAATGTGGAATCTACATAAAAGAGTTTTGCTATTTGGCCAGACATATTTAAGAGCATTTCTCTCAGCGTCACTGTCATCAGTGATAAAATTTTTTAGATAACCCTGACCTCCAAAGCTATTCTCCAGACTTAGCTTTAGTAAAGTGAACCCACATCTATAGTCATCTTCAGATTGGCCTTTTGTGATCAAAATTGCCAGGGGTACAGCGCCAACGGCACACGGAGATAACATGAATGTTACCGAAGGTCCAATAATATCACAGGATGCAGTACTGTCTACAAAAGCTATGTCTTTTGCAAAGGGTAGTTGGTGTGCTCGTTGCATCAGTTTAGTTGCAATCAATACACCATAGGGTTCCTCTTGGTATTCAAGGAGTATGCCATTGTTTAAGTGGATTTCGCGTTTTTCTTTTAATTTCTCTAAAAAATTGGGTACAAATTATAGTATGTCTTTTGCAAAGGGTAGTTGGTGTGCTCGTTGCATCAGTTTAGTTGCAATCAATACACCATAGGGTTCCTCTTGGTATTCAAGGAGTATGCCATTGTTTAAGTGGATTTCGCGTTTTTCTTTTAATTTCTCTAAAAAATTGGGTATAAATTATGAGAGTTATGTTCATGGATTAAATACCTACCTCAATGGAACCTGGTCCAAATCGTGGTCCCAAACTTGAAATTCGCCACTGATTGAACCAGTGCTGTATTGTACGGTATCTCGGATTTATCCTTGCATTTGCTAATTCTGGACTGTCCATACCGTACTGCAATTCCAGCTTTGATTCGTGAAAGCTTACGGACTCCTTAATTCCCATCCCATCAAACTTTGACAAGCATAACGGGAAATCACCACCGCGCCCGCGTTATGTGCAATTAAGCCAGAAAAATTAGGAATGACGCGCCACACATTTAGGCAGTGCCTCACATCTAGACCCTAAAGTGGATCCCATACGATGCTTCCAGCGTTGTTTATAATGTTCGACACCACACAATCGACAAGTGTGTCTCCTTCAAGATGGGATGAACTTTTTAGTCTCGGACGTTCGACGTATGGTGGTGCCAACGTCTATTATCGGTGTCAGTGTCGCTCTTGAAGCTTTACAACTGAAGGAAAAATTATACAAAATGAACAATGAAACAATTTTTTCGAGCGCCTAAAAATAATTTCAGATCTGTCTTCAGCGAACTAAACTTAAGTCTGTACCGATTTTCAAAAACTGCAGAGCTTTTTCGTCATTTTCATAGTAGTAATCTAGGGTCAAAATTTCATCAAAATCTTCAGCGATATCAGTTATTTAATCGTTTTCGTTAGTTATGAAATGCAAGTGAATTTGTGTTTGTCAACTAGTCTTGCATTGCAACAGGACATTATAATTAAACAACTGTAAGCCCCTGATAATTTATAATTTACTAAAATACATATACTTAGGCCAGCCATAATTCAACTGCGAATCGTACAAGATATTAGCAATATGATAAAAGTGTTGTTATGGCAGCCTATGCCTTGTATGTATACTAATTTAATTAATTCTCCTCAAAAGTTAGTTACGAAACATGCATTATTATGAGTAGGTAGATATTCAAAGCACTGGTTCAAACCTAAAACCATCAAACACATTTCTTGTGGAAGCGGAACGAAAAATGCTTCCGACGTTGACGCAGGTCAAATTTACCGACAAGAGCCCGAACGTGCCATGTGGCGAATATTGAACACATGCAATCACTCAGCGCTCTCACAGTTTCACGAACGCAGCCCAGTGTGAGGGCGTATAGGCGTGTTCTTTAATTTAGCGGTTGAGCCACCGGTGCAACCAATTTTACTTCGTTTAATATCCATCTGAGCGACCAGTTGTACACCAAACTTGTCTATATGGTTTATAGACAAGTTTGGAGTACAACCGGTCGCTCAGACGGAAATTAATGGAAGTAAAATTGGCTAATTGGTTGCACCGGTTAGCCACCGATGCAAGCAATTAACCAATTTTTCTTCTTTTGATTTCCGTCTGAGCGACCGGTTGTACACCAAACTTGTTTATCTTTGTGAGCGTCACCTTGAACTAACGTCAGCCTGCGTCTGACGGTTGACAAACCTCAAAGTAATTAATCAAATTCAAGCGGATAACCAAATGGAAATGGTTTTTACAATTTTGGGTTGGTATTTACCAATCCGTTCAAGCGAGTGTAGTTATCAGTTTGGTTATAAGATCCGTGACGTCACGAATCAGCTGTTATATGTTATAGTTATCACCGCAAAATTGTGGTATTTACCCAACTCAAGAGTAGTTTTATATTTCTGGTAATTATTTGAAATGTGACAAGTTAGAATTTTGCCGGGTATTGGATATTGTTATTGTACTTCAGCTTCATTTTTGAGAAAAATGATACAGGCTGACTTCAGTTTTACCATAAAGTATAGCACCTTATTAGTTATACTCATTACGGTTGTTGGGGACACTTTAAATGTAGTTCCTATGCTTAACAAAGTATCCTGTGTAGCCATATACCACAAGAATATTAAAATATGGCCATATAAACTCACTAGATGATATCCACCTGTATACGGTTTTGCTAATTTCTTTTTTCATAATTTCTGCTGAATCAATAAATGTTTTCTTTTACATGCCGAAAAATTTAGAGAATTGAAAGTTATCATAGCTACAAAGCCAGCAAAAAAAAATCTGAAAAAAACATTTCTTTCATGAATATTATGAAAGGTTTCTTATTTAAACTTTCCATATACAGTTGTAGACGAAAAAGCACCAATTATTAAGTGATAATAAAAATAATCAGAGATTATATACGCGCTTTGCTAAAATAAACAACTTGCAACAAAACCGCGGTTAAAACCAACGCGTTCAAGTGATTCGTGTAACTGACGTCATCAACCCGTGTGTCATCTTGAACCATGTTATAACCGCGGCACATAACACAGAAATTTTAGTTATTCCCCTGCATTTGATTATTGTTTTGTGGACAAATCTGTCAACCCTGTCAACGTCAATAGTCAGCAAAAAGATTTTTTGATTTGTCATCCATTCAACAAATAATTCCTTCTACTTAAAGACGTACTGGACATAAATCTACAAACTAAAAATGCCTATCGAGAACCTGGAAGATCAAGGCTTGGAGAAAAATCCCGACCTAGAGCTGGCGCATCTGAAGTTTCTGTTAACATTACCGGAATTTACCAATGATAAAAATGTGCACCAAAAACTCACAGAAGCTATTAAAAAAGACAGTAAGTACATTATTTTGAGCGATATTCATTATACGTATGCAGCTTTGTTACTATTTACATTTACAAGTCTAACCACCAACGGTTCACCAAGCTTCAAAGTTTGATGGACCCTTCATTCATCTTGTGTATAGGAGGATTTGCAAAGGCACTGTTATTCTTGAAAATGTTTGTCAGTATTCCCTCCGAGCAGTGATCCAGGATTAACCACAAAACCTAGCACAGCATCAAAGGTCTCTTTGTGATCAACATAATTGTAGTAAAGGTCTCGTGAAGAAGGATCCTGAGAAATATGTTCCATTAAATCAGGGTTTTTATGTTTTGAATCAAAATGTTTTAAACATTGCTTTTTTGTTGTTTGTGAGTTATTCAGTTTTTTTAATATTTCGTTAAGTATGATTAAAATTGATTTTATTTTGCAAAACTAAACTAAAAGGATCATAGGTTAAAACACATAGGTACAAAAAAATATACTTTGACTAATTTTACCGCTTTTTCTGTGCCCAACTTATTACAAAGTTTGGTGTGAATTATCCCAAATGAGGAACAAATATGCTCAAGCCCAGCAGATGAAGCAGCTGCTGTATGAAGCTGCTGAACTAGGTGAACTGTAACTTCATTTGAGTTATCTTCCAACAACTTCCACCAAACAAGTGGTGTGAGGCCTTTCAAATTGTTGTGAAATAAATAATCCTTAAATGGTGATGTTTTTGCCTGACAACTTACAATAAAAGGCATTGCTTTAGGATAATATCGAAATGGCAAGACCTTCTTTTCATTGCTCTAGATGCAATTTAAGTCCTTGGAATCGATGACCTGGTATATTTGCCAGATAGTGTGCTGGATACATAGTCATATGAAACCTTTTTACTAAATGATTTCTGAATCAGTGCAATTTCGATTTCTTTAAAAAAGGCAAATAGGTCTGTCCAAATTTCAGTGCATTCGCTAATTGTACAGTCATCTGGTTGAATCTAATCTAGAGCAATTGCTATTTATTTTAACTTAATAGTCCTGGGCATTTATTTTTAAATTTAAATCATTAATTTTTTCTGAGATATGAATATCAATAGCAGCTCGGTTTTCTAAACAAATGTTTGATATATGTTAGTTCTCTAGATAAGAATCAATAGAGTCAGCTAAAGTGATCCATCTAACATCTTGTGGCAGCATGAGAGCTTTACCGCCAGATAATTCATATTTGCCCGCTGAGAAATGTACATTTCTAAAGTACTTTATTATTTTCTTTATGTATTCTTTCAAAGTGGGCACCTGAATATCTTGTGCAAATAAATTTAAAATCTGTACAGAACACCCATAAGTAAGTATATCAGTTAGACCTTCATCGCATTTTGCTAGTTCTGCACGCATCTTAGTCATATTTGGCGCATTATCTATCACGCCACTTCTGACAGTACAATTATAATCTGTGTAACAACACCTTATAGACTTTACTGATAAATTTAACAAGCATTCAGAAGTATGAGTTTTGTGTTCAGTGCCAACAGTATCAATTAGATATACTTTTTCCTTCTTGAATATCATTTACAGACACACACACTATTGAATCATTTATAATTTTGCTCCAACCATCAAGAGACATCCATACTGATTTATTACCTAATTGCTTTTTTATTTCTACTTGTTAAGTTGTGTATATGGTACTACTTCCTAATTGCTGACGATTACGTGGCTGATATCCTGGATGCAACATTTCCATTAGCTGCTTAAACTTGGGGTGTTTGACTGCTCTGAAAGCACAGTTTATGGCATAAACAAAACGTGCTACTTGGATATAAATTTTTTTCTTCTCGCTACATGTTGTTTTGACAACGAATGAATCCAGTCGCGATTTTAGTTGGACATCGTCTATCTCCTTGTCTTCTCGTCAATAGCGAAAAACTGGATGACGCTGAACTGGAAGCACTAATAAAATTTTTGTTAGTGTAGTATGATTGTGACGAGCCATCTAAAAAATAAAGTCTACGTATGTAATAATTGTAATAATATCTAAAAGTTCTATGTGATTGATTAACAGAATTTTGCTTGTACAAAACAAAAAGTATGTAGCTAGCCTTAATACGGACCTGTTTTATTCTTAATTCTTATATATTTAATATATTTAAACAAAATTTAACAGCAATTAGGTATTTCTTACCTTTCTCACAATTCTCCAAGCTACTTAACTTCATCATTGTCAGTATCAGAACTATCTGATATATGAATATTTTGTTTTTCTAACAAACTTACTTGTTTAAGTTGTTTACAATTTTTAATATGCTTGCGCATTCTAGCCACCAGTGGCACTATATCCATATTGCAGGTCAAACATTTTGCTCTCTTATCTGTTTTCGAGCAAGCTTTGGCATCAGTCTCCTTAAAATATTTCCACACGGGATCCTTACACTTCCCTGTCATGGCCCTTCTTTTTTTGCCGATCTTTAATGCACGAAAAACACAACACACCACCTCGCTACGACTTCTGCACGGTAGTTTCCCGATGTCCGCTTTTAAATTAGAGATGTGCTCTGATAGAGCTGGATCAAAAATGGTAATAACACTTTCAAGGAACTTCATTAACGTTGCTAGATTATATAGGCAATAGTTTTTTAATTTTTTCTACTGTTTTAAGCATGTATTAACAGTGTTGTAAATATGTTTTTTTTCAGCTAAATTTGAATGTTTTAAGCAAAAAAAAATATGATTTTTGTTTTTTTAAACGTTTTTTTTTTTCAACCCTGCATAAAATTAGCTACTTTTTCAATACTAAACACTGCATTCATAGACAAAATTATACTTGGAAGCTTTTTTCTTGGCCTATGTTCTCTTTTGAGCCAAGTATTTATGAACTAGGAGTGCTTATTTCGAATAATGTTTTGCCTTTATTATCTCTTACACAATGTGATGCTTTTGTAGCATTTATCACTCAAAATTGTTTGATAGAACACATTATTGTTTTGATATTTGGGTTTTCTGCATTACAGTGCATATTTAAGACATTTCCTTCATTTCTATGATCAATATTCTTCCTAATCCCTTATACTCATAAATATTGAAGGAATTGTTACAGTCTGTTTTTATGCTGAACTGATTCTATTTCTTGGTTCCAGACATGGCTCCCTGGTATGAACTGATCTGCAAAGATGTAGGTTGGAAGGTAGACCATAGCCTTTTAAAAACCTTAAAGGCTAAGAATGAAGAACAGCTGAAAATATTGAATGAAGCAATTGAAGATGCAGAGAAAAACTTAGGTGAGATGGAGGTCAGGGAAGCATATCTACGAAAAGCAGAATATTACAGTCGCATAGGTGATAAGGAGAATACAGTAAGCACCTTCAGGCAAACCTATGATAAAACTGTGTCACTTGGCCATCGCTTGGATATCATTTTTCATCTCATAAGGACTGGTCTATTTTTCTTGGACCATGACCTTATTACTAGAAACATTGATAAGGCAAAAAGGTAAGTAAAAAATTCTCTACACTATGATCTAATATACCTTGACAATGGAACACTTTACTTACTAATAAACAGCATTTATAGAATATTGTAGATTGTTGATGAGTCAAAACTAAAATTGCACAACTGGGCTAGGTGGGTTATATTTTAGAATGGGCTCAAGATTTTTTTCTGGAGAGTGCTTATGAAGGCATGAAGCTTTGTAAGTCCTAGGCCTAAGTCAAAAGGTCTGGAGATGTGCTTAAAGATTGAAGGCTCGGAAAAAATTTGATTTTCTATTTGTATTTTTTCATCAAGTTATTTTATTGCTAAGAGTATGATCCTTGGGTCTGTTGTAAAACAAGTTAAATTTTTGAACAAAGAAATCACAAAAAATTTGACAATTTACTATCTACCTTGACTACCTCTATTAGCTTGACACTGACCTCTAATCTTGTGACGAATATGTGCTCTGATATATTATAAAAGCACAATAAATTCCAGATCAAATGTTTTAAATGCAGTTTTTTTTTAAATAAATTGTTGTTTATGTAAGTCTATTCTACAGATCAAGGAAGTCCCACAATTGTCGGCTCATTCTCATTTAATTTAGAATTATTGTACTTGCATGATAGTAAAACAATTTTCTTACTTTGATTTAAAAAGTAAAAAAAATATTTACTTAGTTTAAATTGCTAATAATTTACAACGTAGTGAAAGTAAATGCAGAAATGTTTCTGCAATTATTGTTAATAAATGGGACCACTCCATAACCTACTTGGAAAAACGTAACTGTCCTGGTGTGGTGGGGGGCAAAGAGTGAGCAGATGATTTTAGATATACAAAATATCGCCAACGGTTAATTAATATAAATTTTGATAAAAACATGTTTACAGAATGGAATTACTGCTAATATACCTATGCACCATCTGAAAAATGTTCAATAATTTGAATTACGATTATTGTATTCTGTTGGAAATTGACAGTAAATATTGCTCAAATGTCCCTTCACCTTCCTCTGAAGAAACATCTTTTTAAATACATCTTGTCATGATTAATTGTTTATTTATTGTGATCTTGATTTCTTCATTCAATGACATTTAAATCTATAGTACTATCAGTGGCTGTCTCTGCTGTAGCCAGTATGGGCCTGCAAAGATACTATATTCTATTGTTTCACTCATTCTTACATCACCAAACAAATACAGCGGATAAGCTGCAACCTCTTAGCCATACAGCCATAGTGATACAGAAGACACAAAAAACATCAAGTGAGAGAAAAAAAAGGAAAATAGAGCATGCTCAACACTGTAATAAATCATTAGTTTGATAAACAGTGACTTATATTATTAAGAGAACTTTGAAATTTATGTTTGCTTACAAACTGTTATGTATGTACTTTAGTAACAAAATAATTTGTTTTTAATTTTATAAACCATAAACTCATATTGTGAGCATCTTTGTATACCCTGGACGCCTGAGAATGCTGTATGTTTTAATATTTATAATTGAGCATTGGCCATATTTCGAATGTCTAAAATCATCTTTAAAAAATTTAATTCAGAAATAATTTTTTATGGTTTTCTATTATCTTGTCTACTTTTGTTCTACTATCATGCAACTGCAAAACCGTCTTTAGAGAATAAGCAACAGCCAAGAATCATAGGACTTCCCTGAACTGCAGAAAAGATTCTTATAAAAAACAATTTTCTTCAAAAAACTTCAATGAGAAACAATCTAAGATATCTTGATTTAAAATTTATTGTGCTTTTATAATGTGCCAGAGCACATAATCGTAACAGGATTAGAGGTCATAGTCGTGCGAATAGAGGTGATCAAGGTAAATAATAGATTTTTAGTGGCTATATTGCACTAACCTCAAAATTCGTTGCGCGACTATGGTGATAAAAAATTTAGCCTGTGAGTGTCTTAGGGCTAAAAAGGTGACCAGGTTCATTTGCTTAGAGATCAAATAACTTGAGGAAAAAAATAAAAAATGGATTTTATCGATATTTTTCGCAAATAAAAAATTTTTCCCTGACACGAATATTCTCTCTCAAAAGACATTTTTGCCTAACCTTGAAACTTTAAACGAGTCTCCAGATCAAACTGCTCTACGTTTGAGTCAGAGATTTCACAAAGTCTCATGCCTCCATAGGTTCTCTTCAGAGAGCAATATTAGTCCAGTATGAGACAAGACTTGCCCTCCTGCTCAAAAATATCGAACATTAGATTCAAAGGCCTGTTCTACTGACTTAAAGGCAAAGTACAAAGTTCAACTTATATTGGGGGATAGGATGGTTCTTCTCCAAACACATTGTGGATCACTTTTGACTGAAATATTCACCCATCGAAATTTTAAGATTTCAAATTGGAGGTCATTTTTCAGTTTTTTGACAAATACACTCCGGCGTAGTCATACATTATGGGAGCCAATGCTTTCCAAGAACAAAATAGCGAGAGAATGAAAAATTTTCGAAATGCTAAAATTCACATTTTCCGAATCTTCAAACTTCGAGTGCATCTCCAGACCGAACCATTTGACCTGTCACCCTGAAATTCACAAAGCTTCATGCCTTCAGTAAAATCGAGCCCTGTCACATAGTCGGAATACTAAGTATTCACAAATCGAAAGTTATTTGTCAAATCGCCCACAATCTGTGCAGATATCAGGATCATTTAGTAAAGAAATGTATATTAAGTGTGGTGTCCCACAAGGAACTGTCTTAGGTCCGCTGTTATTCAATATATATTTAAATGATATTTTCCAAATTAATTGTGTTGGCAAAATAACTAGTTTTGCAGATGATACTGCAATATTATATGAAGGCACTGACTGGTCTGATCTAAAAAATATAATTGAAAATGATTTTATCAAAATTATTCGGTGGTTTAACAGTAGAAAATTAAGCATTAACTACTCTAAAACACATTTTTTACCATTTGGATCTTATGCTAGACATCTGCCAAATTACACAAATTTCTCCTTCAATATTAATGACCAAAAAATGCAAATTAATAGAGTGCCCAACATAAAATACCTTGGAGTGGTCTTGGATCCTCACTTACGATGGGACATCCATGTCAATTATATTTTAAAGAAAGTTAGATTTGTATCCTACAAAGTTAAATACCTTGGGAATATATTGACAGAAAAATATCTTCGAACATTATACCATGCACTGATTGAGCCTCATCTCACATATGGTATATTAGCATGGGGAGCTGCATGTTCCTCACATATCTATAATTTAGATGTTTTTCAAAAAAGTATTCTAAAAATGATATTTAAAAAACCGAAACTTTATCCCACTGAAAAATTATACGCAGATGTTCGAATGTGTGATATAAGACAGCTTTATTTCTTACACAGTATCACTCACTACCATAAATTTGTAAACACCGACCACAAAATTAAACATAATCATTATACCAGGTACAAAATTCGTGGCACAGTAGTTCCTCAACCGCATAAATCTATAATGCAGCGATCGTATCTCTATTTAGCGCCTAAATTTTATGAAATTATACCTGAAGACTTAAAAGATTTACGTTTCGGAAATTGTTTCAAAAGAAATTTAAAAAAGTGGCTACATTCTATATCTAGGACTGAAATTCATAAACTCATAAATACGAACATCAACTAAATACATAATCTACTGTAGCTAATTTTTGTCCTTTTTTGTCATTTGCATTCTACAGTTTCAACTTAAATTTATTGGTCCATGTACAGGCGATGCCTTCTATTGGGCCTGTTTTGATTTTATATTTATTTACTCATATTGTTTGTTATCTTTGTACATTGAGTGAATAAATATTATTATTATTATTATTATTATTTAGTCATAAAGATAAGGCTGAACTGAACTATGATTCTGTCTCTTGTATCTAATATTTTGTTTTTATGCATTGTATATTTCTATATTTTATAGTGTCTGTGGTAGTCTTACAACAATCCTATAGTATATATTCATATCAATGAAAATAATGATAAATGCAAAACTATTCGATTATATTCAAGTATCCATATCCATATACTTTTAGAAATGACAAGACGGTGTTATAGACTGTTTAACAGTGTGGTAATCAGAATCAGTGCAGGACCAACACAATAATAATTAGTATTATAAATCGTCTTGGATCGTGTTTGTTAAATTGTTGTATCATCTACTAGAAAGTCTAATCTGTTTTTTTTTCAGTCTCATCGAGGAAGGTGGTGACTGGGACAGGCGGAATAGACTGAAAGTGTACCAAGGAGCATATTGCATGGCAGTCAGGGACTTCAAAACTGCTGCCAATTTGTTCCTAGATACAGTCAGTACTTTTACATCATATGAACTGATGGACTACAAAGAGTTTGTGAGATACACTGTATACACATCTATTATTAGTTTGCCTAGAAATCAGCTAAGAGATAAGGTGAGCTAACATTTATATTATTAGTTAAGATATTGTCAAAGTTCAGGATATTGTTGCTTTAAGCATAATTCTTATCCTTGTTGGAGGTGATATTACATTTTTGAATACACATAGCCAAGCAGTTCTTATCACGTTTTATCAGACATATAGCTACTATCTCTAGGCACTTGAGAACCAGTGTTCTAAAGCTACAATGCATTGCAGGTTGTGAAAGGATCTGAAATTCTGGAAGTACTTCACTCAGAACCATTTGTGAAGGAATATTTGTTCTCCCTTTACAACTGTCAATATGCAGAGTTCTTCAAAAATCTTGGTAAGTGTGACACTCCAACATTGGTGACATCAAGCAAATGATAACTGAAAACTATGACATTGTTTCACCTGATCCATGATGAGACCCTAAATTTTTTGAATAATGTTAAGACAAGCAAGTATAAAGTACTGTTCATCTGTCTTGACATGACAGGAACTGAAATACATTTAATTATCATGTGTTGTCTTTTTCCAGCTGAAGTTGAGGTCATCTTGAAGAGAGATTACTATTTCAACCCACATTATAGGTACTATGTCAGAGAAATGAAGATACTGGCATACACTCAGTTACTTGAGTCATATCGTTCTTTAACTTTGCAGTATATGGCAGAAGCTTTTGGTGTAACAATACAATATATTGATGAGTAAGTATAAGTGAATCATATTATTTGGGAGGATATTTGATCCTCGGAAATACTCTGGATGCTCACTATGAAATGCTATATCAATTGAAAGAATATTTAAGCCTGTGTCCCACGATACTGAAGAAACACGATATTGAACTTTCAAAATGAAAAATATATACATCAATATTTACAATATTGACAAGATAGCGATTTTCAAGCTGAGAAAAACTTCCAAAACGGCATCTCTTAACTATGTATGAGGTAACCAAATAAGTTTGTGCTGTTTTTAGTAGAAAAATATACATTTTTGTTGAGAAACAATAAGACCAGTAATTACCATCACGTTCAATGATCTTTTGCCAGCGTGGAACCAATTTTTGTATGCCGGTATTGTAGAACTCCCTGGATTTGGAGTGAAGAAATTGGCGGACTGCATTTATTACACCATCTCGAGTTGTTAACTGTCAGTGCCTCACACAGTTGTCAAGAGACAAAAAAAGGTGATAATCACTGGACGAAATTCCGGGAGAATATGGCGGGTGTGGTAACGTTTCCCAGCCGAGTTCAGTCATTTTTTCTCGGGTCACTTTTGCAGTATGAGGCGTATGCGTTATCCTGCAAGAATATCACTTTCTTCCGATTGATCAAAGAAAGCTGTGTCTGGATGAGTGCTGCTTGCACTCGTTGAAGCTGCTCACAATACAAGTAGGACCGATGGTTTGACCCCTTTCCAAAAACTCATAATGGACAAGTCCAGTTGCTGTCCACTAAACGCACCACAAAACCTTGTTTGGGTGCAAGGAAGCCTTGGGCGTGTGTGGTACCGAATCAGTAGGCGACAACCAATGATACGAAGGCTGAGAATTCGAATACAAGATCCATTTTTCGTCGCAGGTTAATAACAGATTAAAAAATGGTTCATTAGGGTTGTGTGAAATGTTTGCTGAACAAATGGTAAGACGACTTAATTTGTCAGTTCATGCGGGACCCATTTGCTTAACTTCCACGTCTTTGCTAGCGGATGAAGATGCAAACGAATAGTTTCAGGACTCTGAACATTTGCAAGTTGTTGGCACGTTGTCCTGGAATTTGCGTCCACAACCTGTCGGAGATCCTCGTTGTTCATGATTTTTGGTTTCCCTGAGAGCGGTTCATCGCTCAAACTGACATCTCCCGAAGACAATTTTTGGAACCGCTTCTGAGCTGTTCGATCACTAACGGCATCATCTTCGAATGCGGTACATATTTATCGCGCCGCCGCTGCAACTTTTGTACCAAGTTTGTACTCATACAGTAAACAACTTCGAATGACTGTTTTATTCGTCGCCATTTTCAATTATTAAAGCTAGGTATGTTACAATTTTCAGCAACTTTTTATGTGTGTGAGAAAAGAAGGATTCATACTAAAGTGACAACAGGTAACACACAATCGCTATCGATCAACAACATCCATGGCAATGTGCGATATACAGCAACCGCACGAACTTATTTGGTTACTTGATATTATTATATTGAAACCGCCGCTTCGGCAACATTCAAAGTAATGCGGTACTCAATACTTACTTTGGCAATGAACCTTTTTTATGCAACATTTTAATGAAGCAATAAATCATGTTTCCCTTTTCGATATCCTCGACAAAAAGTAAGGATTTGAAAATTTATCTGATCTTACAATGACCTTGAAAGTCATGACCAAATTCATTGGCAAGGATGTACTAGAACTTCACCGCGATTTGCATTCCAGGAATTAAAAATAGATATTTCCTGTCAAAAATTCAGTTGATCTTCAAATGACCTTAATGGTCATAGTCAAAGTCATGAAGTACTTGAACATAAAGTTTCTTTTCTCTTCTTATTCATGGTGTCAAACACAGGGTTTCCCATTTGAGAAACCTGTCTGAACCTTCAAATGGAATTGAAAGTCATCACGTTCACCATTATATGAATATTTTCAAACCTTTACAACTCTTATTACACAACATTTTTATTCATGAAACGTATTATAATAGAGATATTTTGTCTTTTGCCTATTTTCTGGAAATTCTTAATTATCCTGTCATGACAACTTTAACTTATAGCTTCCTGCTCTTTACATTTTCGCTTTCAAAAATAATAATGAACGTCCTTTATTTATGGAGAAGTTAAGCTAAGTATTACACATTTTAACGCTTCAAAAACTAGCATTAGAATACTGAAAACTATTTTAACAGTATTCAAACGAAAATTGCAAATTGAACATAGCCTACACATATGTGAACAAAAAAACTACAATATTTATATAATATACATAAATATGAGGAAATATAAATGATCTATATACTAAGAGTTAATTCAGATTTGAGAATCAAAGAAACTCGTAATTTGTTTATTTTGAGAAAAGTCTTGCCCCCCAAATGACCTTGAAGTTCATAATCACCAATCGAGGTATATTTTCACACTGTACAACTTTGTTGTATAATATTTTTGTCTAGGAGATCCATATCCATACTTCCCTGTATATTTTCGCCAACAAAACCATGCATATAACCTTCCTCGGGTTTCAGTTAGTAAGTGTACACATTTATATGTCTCTCTGTATTGTGGTTCAGACATGATGCTTACAGACTGGATATTTATTTATACAGGGTGACTTTGAAGTTGAGTCATTAATTTTCAGATAATGATTGTAGAAGGAAGATCAACAATATGTGTGTAAAAATAAAATAAAAAATAAAAAAAAAATGTTACCTTGTTTTATAAAGCATCCTCCCGACAAGTATTTCAGTGCGGACCTGTATTTGTTCGTGCGGTCTTGGAGCACCGGCATGCCCTCCCCTGTGAGGTCTTAAGTCACCTGATTTACGAGCCCTTTGTACTACATTAACAAAGGCACGAGGGGTTGGTTGTACTCGATGAAATAAGAATCATGTCCACAAGTTCACACGTTCAGCATTTTCGTAAACATGTGCCATTTTTTATTTCGTTTGAGCCACGCAACAAACACCACTATTCATTCACGCGTTACCGACTGAAACATTAACTGACATCGTGATAAACGTTTCAAATTCTTTCGCTTTTTTGTTTCCGATGCGATGAACCGATAAGGCGGATTATATCCGTTGTTGCCAAACACGAGCACATAATATTATTATTGAGACAGGGCGGTACTCAAACTTCTAAAGGGCTATAACTTTGTTAATTTAATTTTACCAGAAAAATGTTAAAGGAAAAAAACATTTCTTTTGATGAGATCTACTCACTGTTAAAATAAATGACTCAACTTCGAAGTCACCCAGTATATGGAAGTGCTCGAAACACGTGTATTTTTCTGAACCGTTTTTGCAAAATCTGTGAGTCTAATTTCAACGTGTTTCAGAGAGCTGTCTACTTTCATAGCAACTGGAAGACTCCATTGCAAGATCGATAGAGTAGGAGGTATTGTAGAAACAAATCGTCCAGACTTGAAGAATGCTCAATTCAACTCTGTTGTTAAACAAGGAGATTTGCTTTTGAATCGTGTGCAGAAGTTGTCCAGAGTTATAAATATTTAAATTTGCTTTAGCTGCTATGCTAAAGTTGTAATTTTTTTATGTAAAACGCTAAGTTAATATACCTACGCTACCTACTAAAAACCTGTTATTTTTACTTAACTTCCCTACATTCTATACATTTCATTTCCTGGTGCACTGGTGCAACACTTCCGCTACGCCAACCCATACGAAATTTCGCGGTGACAATATAAGATCGATGGATTCAATAAGAGTGTGGCGACACAAGCTGAAAATATCGGAGAAAACAAATGTGGCTTAGGGTGGTTAGGAAAAAACACTGCACAAATTGATCACTTCATTTGTTCTAAATTCCATTATGAGCATAGAAAAACTTTGAGTACAGACAGCTTCTAAGTGGCATTGTGATACATGCAACTGCTGTATGTATTTTTTGTCATTTTGTGTATTTATTTGTATTTTTTCCACTACACATTGAAGAAATAAGATAAGTTTTAATATAAAATTCTAAGCAACCTATAAAGCTTTGTTCTTGGCAAAATAATGACTATGGTCATGAAATTGGCACCATTTCCGAGTTAAAATGTAATCGGGATCACCCCACATACCGACTGAAAAAAACTAATGAAATAATATGAAAAACATTGAGAAACTACCCCGTTATCAAGATACAGCGTGTTTTCATGCTACTGATGAAAATGAAGAAGGATAAACCATGTATATTGTTCTATACCCTATTTCACGAGTATTCATCATGGTAGAATGAAAGTTAATTATCTAGTAATATCTCAAAATTCCCCATATCGGCACAGGGCACATAATTCTGACAGATCCGTCAACGTCAGGTACATGCTTGTTAGCATTTTATTTGGAAAAGTTATTTGCATACAAAAACAAAACGCTACATATAAGTTTTACTAGATTTACATCCAATTCATTATTGCCAACGTGTGCCAATGCGTGATGGATACTCGATAAATGAGTACAAAAACTCTACGGTGAAATTTGATTACTTTTATCCGGATCAACCCTAAGAAGACCGAAGAGGTACTGTTCTGAAGAAAGCAATATAAAGATGACGATCACCAGAATGGAGAGAGGCTGGAGAAGAGACGAAGATGTTGAGGTCGAATGGAAGGACTCCAGCACGTACCTTGGAGTCAAGATGGACCAAAAACTCATATGGAAGAATCACGTCGAGGGCCAGGCGCAGAAAGTGAAGATGGCACGCTCAAGATTAAGACCTTTAATTGACAGAATAAGTAAACTATCCCTAAAGAATAAGACCATCGTGATTCAGATGGTGCTGCTCCAAATCATGATATACGCAGCAGTAGCTTGGGACTACGTTGCCAAAACGTGGAAGAAGAGGCTCCAAGCTCAACAAAATATAGCACTGCGAGAGGCGGTGGACGCACCGTGGTACGTATCTAACAAGTGCTATATGACGAACTCCGACAGGTACTGGTCGTAATCCAGATGAGAGAGAGGGTCCGAAAGTTCTTCGAAAAGAACGAAAGACATCGAAATCAGCGGATTACGACCCAAGAACAATAAGGCGTCATAAAAGACCTAAAAGCCAGCTGAAACAAGAAGACAATAATTGGCCCTAGCATCTTATGAGACTAAAGTAAAGGGGAGAAGACCGGCAATAGTTGACGCTCAAGACGGGAAAGAACAACCCGTGTACAACGGGTGTACAAAAAGAAGCCTGTCGATTGAGGTGGCCAGAATCAAGCACGGACTCGAGGCTAACCTCAGGAGACGAAGACAAACTGACTGACTGACTCCAGTCGACGTGGAAAGAGGAAAGGCTCCGCAACCTTAATGCGGTTCAAGAAAGAGGCCATCCATAAAAGTCGAGAACCGACAATTGGAAGAAATGTCCACCAACATTAGGGAGGGGGTAGTGCAGTACTCGGGCCACGCAGCCTCACTCCAAGCCAGGGGGCGGGAAGGAGGGAAGAGCCAGTTACTGTGGAGGGACCGCTCAGGGCAGGAGTTTGTGTGTATGTGTAGATATGATTACTTTCCTAATACATTACATAAAATTTTCAATTACAACTGCTTATTTTTAGACTGGAACGTGTTTTTATACGGATTTTACCTCAAATAATCAAACCACTTTTTCTCCAAACAACAATTCTGTAAAGACCAACATTTTTATATTTCTACGCAACTGATGTAGTTTCAGGCACAAAAATTTCTGTACGTAATGGCTATGATGACAGTACTTCATGTGCAAAATTTGTCCTTAATCCACTCTGAAGGTATACGATTTTTATTCAATTTCGAAATTATACCTTCAATATCCTGTTTCTCGGTAAGAGAATATTTCAGTGACCATTTTTATATGAAATGTTTGTGTCTCTTTCATCTACTCTGAGATAGATACTTTATAAGTCCTTTTGATCATTTAAAAAATAATGTATGACAGGTCATGGCTGATACATAATAAGCATAGAAAAACAAAAGGTACCCTTGCTTTGGTTGTCGTATAGAAAAATGCCATATGTACAATGTGACTAAAGCATATTAGAGGCGACACAATAAAGGTAATATTGCGATTCAAAGTATAACAAAGAAGGTAGTTATTTTCTGCTACTACATTAGAAAGAACAATAAAAATAAAAATTGGATATACGAATAGATAAAATAGGGTGTTTCAGAAATAACCTGCCAGAGTGTCACGGTAGGTAGTTTTTCTGCATATTATATCAGATAAAATCAACATGACCTTAGTAAAAGTCTTCTCGAGATATTGCCACTTTTAAGCTTTTCAAAAAAATCCCTTCTTTTTGCTTCTTTTTTGCCTGTTATAGCTATAAAGAACTTCTATTTTATGTTTTTTCCTGGGCTACCATTAGTAGTTGGTTGAGACAACCGAGTATTAATTTCTAAGTTTGACTAATTACTGTGAAAAAAATGTACCAGACTGAATCGGCAAATGATCTTAAAAACTTAATTCACATAGATTTTTTGCACTATCATATACCCATTCTTTTGGAAGATTTGCCTCTTGAGACAAGAAGAAGGATGTGGTTACAGAATGATGGGTGCCCTGCACACTATCCTAATGCAGTAAGGGGGTATCGTATCTTGTTGAAACGTTCCCTAGAAGATGGATTGGCTGGTTAGGACCAATTTTGTGGATCCACGCCCCCCAGACCTGAACCCTCTGGGTCTCCTTTTTTACTGGGGATGTTTAAAAGATAACGTCTATGGGAAACCAGTTCGATCAGCCGATGAACTGCCTCATTGAATTCATCAAGCAGCACCCGAAATAACTGATCTAAGTTTGAGACGTTTAAAAGGACAATTTTCAACAACATGCGGGCTGTATGTAAAAGAGTTGGTGGTAGATATTTTGAAAACCTGATGTAAAAATAATAATAATAATCATTCACTCCAGGAAATATTTACGCTACAAGATGTTAGGTTAATTTTCATTTAGTTAATTTGAGATGTTAATTATGAATCCTAATTTTTAATTATTTTGATGCCTACATATAGAAGTGAATAAAAAGGCTAATGGATAGCTGTTTTAGACATGTTTGCTAAATAAGAAGCTATTAGCAACTACAAAGTTGTAATTTGGACACAAAGGACAGCTTCACTTATTATTTATTATTTGTAATATTTCGCAAGTATTACTTCGATAACAAAAGTTGGAATTATTCAGTTTTTAGTAACAAGAACCTACAAATATTATACTGATCTTTGAAAGAGCATTAAATACCTAGCTAGCTTTTAAGGTAGTTTGCTAATTCAGTCTGGTACGTTTTTTTTCACAGTAATTAGTTAAACTTTAGTAAAGGTTTTCGCAATGAAAAGAAATGTAGTAATCCAGTTTTTTTAATATACCTTGCTAGTTTTCGATTAAATGAATACTCGGTTGTCTCTCCCAACTATTAATTGTAGCCCAGGAAAAAAATATAATTTAGAAGTTCTTCATAGCCATGTCAGACAAAAAGGAGTAAAAAGTAGGATTTTTACTTTTACTAAGGTCATGTTGATTTTATCTGATTAATCTGAAGCCAATCTATCTCCCGGGTTGCTCTGGCATGTTATTTCTGGTACAGCCTGTATATAAATAGATAATTATAAAAGTACATAAAAACAAGATGCGTAAACAATCACATTTAAGATACATTTGAGCTATGGTACACAAAACATTACATAAAATAAGTTGGTATAATGGTATACAACTTTAGTACAAAAAATAGTCAGCCAGAGTGTAAGGGCACTTGACAACAATATTCAGATGGACCTCGAGAATGTCAATGTTGGTACTTCTCCTGAACACTGTGGGTAAATGATTGTAAGCCCGCTTTTATGCACGCGTTTTTTGTCGCCTGTCGTGTGGCGACAAAAAACGCGTCGTTTTCTCAACGCATTGTCTTGTATGTAGCCATTTATGCATCAACGACGGTGGTCCGCTCGATGCCCGTGTCGCGGCGTTCTCAAATTTGGTCGCCTGGAATTTGAGAACGCGTGGCGACAGGCGTTTTGTAAGTACGTTGAATGGAATTTACGCTTTTATTCAACGCGTTTATTGTCGCTGATGCTATGATAGGAACTCATTCTCAGTTGGTGGGTGTTGTCTAAAGACTGAAGACGTGTGCTACAATGGAACATCTGGATGTCGAACTATTCATCGACGCAATAGAAAAACGACCATCTTTGTGGGATTCATCGTCAGGAGACTACAAAAACAGACAGCTTAAAAGAGACGATTGGAAGGAAGTGTGCGAAATTGTTATCCAAAAATTTGGGGAAAAATATGAAAAAGAAAGGCAGGAAATTGGTAAGCATTTCATGTTAATTACTTTAATACATACACTTACTATTTTGTTTAAATCATATGTTGGTGTTTTGTCATGGCACAGCCCTGCTGGACTGCTAAAATAGTCAGCGAAAGCATCTCTGTATTTGTAAGCAGACTTACGTCCACGTCCTTCTGGTTCTGCTCTATCATTATCATGCAGCCCTGTTATTGTCAAAGTATCCTCAAATCTGATGCCATCCCTCACACGAACAAAATTGTGTAATATACAGCAAGCTTTGATGATGGATACAGCGACTTCCTCCATCACATTCATCGGTCGATGCAGTATACGCCATTTGTTAGTTAAAATTCCAAAGGAGCATTCTACTTTCCCTCTTGCTCTAGACAAGCGATAATTAAAATTTCTTCTTTTTTCTGTTAAGTTCTTTGCAGGATAAGGTCGCATTAAGTTATTTGTTAGTCCAAACGCCTCATCCCCAACGAGTACATATGGCAGTGTTGTTTCTGCTACTTTCTCAGGTTTTGGGATATGTAAGGTATCTTCTTCCAATTTTCTAAACAAGGAGCATTGTCTAAACACCATGGAGTCCGATTCCTTACCATAGGACCCGACATCGATGTATATAAAACAACAGCTGCTGTCGGCAATAGCTAATAGAACAATGGAAAAAAGTTCTTGTAATTATAATTCAGTGATCGGCTATGTGCAGGCGCGATTATCCTGCAATGTTTACCATCAATAGAGCCAATGCAGTTAGGAAAATTGGTACGTTCTGCAAAATCTTGGGCAATTTGGCGCCAACGTTGTTCAGTAGGTACAGGAAAGCACTCTTCCTGTAATGTACGCCATAGGGCAACGCAAACTCTTGGAATTAGAAGACTTGCCGTTGTGACCCCTAATCTGTAGCTGTAGTGCAGCTCTGTATAGGTACATCCTGAACCTAAATACCTGTAAAACAAAACTGCCATTTAGTATAACGATACAGTTACTTATAATAGTAATATCATGGCCAATCTCCTATGTTTCGGGGTTTCGGCTTAGTTAAATGCAAAGAATACGAATAATTGTCAACAAATTTTAGGTCTCTCATTATTTGTAGTGCATCTAAAACCTTTACTTTATATTATTGGGATGTACGACATATACATAGATGTCAAGGCTCGTATGAGAAACACATTTTTAAAAAAAAAATTACATTTAGGTATCTAACATGTTATCTGTTTTTCCTTTTTAGGTAGAGAAGTTCAACTTAAATGGAAAAGTCTGAGGGATGCTTATGTTCGTACCATTCGACAATCTAAGGGAAAAAAATCAGGAGCGTCTGCTAAAGCTGTAAAAACGTACATCTATGCTAAACAATTAGGATTTTTACGAAAGGTGACTGGTTCCCGTCAGACAGAGAGCTCACTACCAAGTACATCAAGAGAGGGCCAAGAAGATATGGATGTTTCAAAGGACATAAATGACATGCAAAGTACTTCATCAGATGTCCAACATACTCAGTTCGACAGCCAAATGGAAACTGGACGAACTCCTAGTAGAAGTACTCTCTATAGAAGAAAGAAATCAGATTTAGAAAGTAAACTTGCAAGCTATATTGATTCCCATAACAGACAGCCAGCATTAGCTATACAAAGTCAACCACAAGAAACTGATGACATGGCCTTTTTTAGATCATTACAAGCAAGCTTAGATACGCTCACTCCGAATGAGAAATTGAATTTTCGAATAGAGGTCATGCAATTATTAAGCCGATATACTAACAAACAACCAAATCAGTATATACACAATTTTCCAAATCATATACCCCATTACCAACCACAGCAATATCCAGTAATGACCAACATCTCTAATATACGTTTTAATACGCCAGCACCTCCATTCGCATCATATTCTACAGTATCATCTGAGATCACACCTCATTTGCCTCATCCTAATACTGATACTACTGAATCACTTGCTGTGACGTCACCACAAACGCCATTTTCTCCGACGGAATCGGAAAATTCAATAATTTCACAAGCCGAATCACTAATATCACTGTTATCAAATCAATAATATGTTTGAACTGTTTTGTTATAGTGTTTGATGTTTTACTCTTATTTCCTGAATAAATGGTTTATTTCTTCAACTTTCTCATAAACTTACCTCAACGTCATTGATAACATTTCTTCTGCTTCGAATGCAAATCCTTGAATCAGCTCCCTATCTTTATTGAAAGTGTTTTTTAACTTTTCACATAGCTCATCAAAGGAAGCTATCGACATACGGTAATAATTAAAGAATTTGTCATTGTCTCGTCTTAGTTCTTTGTGTAGTGTATAATATGTGCCTCTGAGATTTCTTGCACTATTTATTGGGTGAACGCTCCAACGTCTCTTGCGTCTCTTTTTGATTATATATTTGTATGCCAAGTATACAACACACGGATCCATTATTTATCAATGCACCACACTTCCTTGTTTAGACGATACGATGGCCACTGATCTATCTGAAAGCGACACGCCACAAACAACGTTAGACAAAAGTTCCATTTTGTTTCATCTATAAACGCCGCGTTTTTTGTCGCCACGCGACAGGCGACAAAAAACGCGTGCATAAAAGCGGGCTAAATCTTGGTGCATTTCTAGAGTGGCGATTTTGCAAATAAGGTAGTGTTATGTGCAGGAACACCTAGACATTGATTGTATTGTTTTGTGTAAATTTATTTCTATGACAGAATGCGAAGATAGCGCATTTGTATATGTATAGGGTTGTTACTGTGAGAAGATTGTATCGGATGAAGGTTTCCCTACAAGAGTCTCTTTGGCTAATATTGAAAATGTAGTAGAAATAATCTCCTTACCATACTTGCCTGTCCTCACAAATTTTTGTTGCAGATGTGAGGATAGATTAGCTCATAGTACATATACCAGTGTAGATGTTGTAACAGTTTGTTTCATTTTGAATACTGGGAAGTATGATAATTTGCTTGCAGATGTTAGTTTTCTGTCCACATACATACCAAGAAAAGTAGTCAGTAGATATCTTCCCGCCAACGCGGCTTACCATTATGAAAATGCGCATGAAGCGTCTTAATTTTATTTTATATGAGATAGTCGCTCATCATTCACTCGTCTTCTGGGCTACTTTAGAGATTAGTTATTCGGGTGATGGAGTACTGACAACTACCGAAGTGTCCATGCTGACTATCTGAGATGGTCACTTTCTGAGCTGTATACCTAATAACTTGCTTATATAAGCATCACTCGATAATTCTAATTTCCCATTTCGTGGTTAATTGCCAACTGATTCTATTAACTGTCCGTTATTATCGCTTATCATTTTCCTGTGTTGTTTTCTCCTTCCCTAATCTCTAGAAATAATGCCACTCTGTTTTCTGAAACCCGCTGTATAAAACCAAGTTATACACCTATGTGAATTCTGGGAAGACTTTCCGGGCGTACTTGATTCATTCCCGGATATCAAGTAGTAACTTCCTAACCACAGAAGTTCAGGAACTTGTGGAGTATTACGGGAATTAAGTACAGGAGTGGCAATGTAGAAACTGACTTTGAATAACACACGTCAGTACAGTTTATGTGATTGTATCCTCTAATGTACGTAACCATTAGTATTAAGCAACACAAATAGATATCATAATGGGTATAAAACTCATCTATGACCAGGTGCTACCGATCTAGTGGCATGTCTTATTCGGTCCTTTGCTTCTCCAAATCACGCATTATTGGACAAGCACCATCACCGAGTTCATTTAACAAATGTAGACTGTATCAGCATGTATAATAATTCTTTCATTCAAATATAATTATACTAAGTGACATATAAATCCGAGCACCCAGTTTAAATGGTTTTATTTTAATAAAAGTTGGTGAATGTATTTATCTTACTGTAAATAACAAGTGAAAAAATTTTCAGCCTTATCAGTTGGACATTCCGGTTTTTATACTGCTTTTTTTTTAATTCACTAACGCTCTAAAAATGAATATTTCAGCCGCAGTAAAGAATCAACATTGGCGGATTTTGGTTCTTGACATCCTTTACGATCGGTTACGATGCCTAAAGTACGGAGACCTGTACGATTTCGTCAACTTAGTGAGTTTCATAGGGACCGTATAGTGGGACTTCGGGAAGCTGGACTTTCTTTTCGGGCAATTGCAGTTAGAGTCCAAAGAAGTGTAGACACTGTGGTTAGGTGTTGTCAGGCATGGCTTCGAGAAGGCCGTACGCAAAGAGCAAGGGGCAACAGACCGTACCAGGTCCATTGCAAATGAATGGTTTGCAGAAGACGGAAGACCTATTGGCATGCGAAGTGTTTACCGACGAATGAGAAGTTTTGGCTTGTTTTCATACCGGCCACACTGGGTCCTCCCTTTAACTCGAGAACACCGACGTAATCGCCTTGAGTGGTGCAGACAACGGTCACTCTGGGATCAGGAATGGAACAGTATTGTCTTTAGTGACGAGTCTCGATTTTGTTTAGGCATGCACGATGGTCTTGCCAGGGTTAGAAGGCGACGTGGTGAAAGGAGGAATCCACAGTTTTTTGTTGAAAGACATGTTCATCACACTGTTGGAGTTATGGTTTGGGGTGCTATAGCTTATGGTTCCAGGTCACCTTTAATCTTCATCAGAGGTAACATGAACGCGCAGCGTTATATCCACGAAGTTCTAGAACCCCATCTTTTATCCTATATTGACACCCTGGCAGATCCAACTTTCCAACAAGATAATGCCCGACCACATGTTGCAAGAGTCACAATAGACTTCTTTCAACATAATGATGTCACATTGTTACCATGGCCACCAAGATCTCCCGACATATCCCCAATTGAGCACGTGTGGGATATGATGAGTAGGAGATTGCTCAATTTGCAACGTCCTCCTCAGACTCTAGATGCACTTCGAGAGGAGTTGGTGGTTGCCTGGAATGAGATACCACAGGAGGACATTGACCACCTGATCAGAAGAATGCCTAGGCGCGTTGGAGAATGCGTAGCACATCAGGGTGCATCCACACATTATTAAAGGTCAAAGGGCTTTAAAGCAGTGCAATCATTTTGAAATTTTTATCATTTACTTATTATGCTTCATTAAGTACTTATACAAAATTTTATTAAAATAAAACCATTTAAACTGGGTGTTCGGATTTATATGTCACTTAGTATACATACAATTTTATGTTGTCAGCAGCTGGTCGGTTACAGCCGTTTGAATGTTCGACTGTCCCAAAATGAATGTTTTTATTGGCCAAAAACTCATTTATTGACATTGCTGCGTGACAAGAGGCATTACTGTGATGCAATGCCCAGTTGTTCTTGATCTGATGAACGGTGTCAGTCAAATTTAACTCTTCTCCGATCATTTTGACTGTAACTTACTATCTGAACGCACAAGATACGGGATTCTGTCGATATTTTAATCGTTTCCTGAAGATGAATTCCTTTGCTTCAAGGTTAATTTTCAGTCGACTCTCTCCTTTCTGAAAATGTCTTAAACCAGCAAAAAACCTGGGCTCTTGACAAAATACTATCTCCGTAGGCCTGTTTAGCAGTCGTTGCTCGAGATTGATGTCCCTCATTTTTAGAACACAATAGAAAAGCTTCTACAAAAAAGTCGCTGCGGACAACCAAACGACTAGAGCGAGTTCAAACTTGTACTGAAGGCCAATCATATATCACATGTTCTCCTCTCTCCCCTCCAAGCCCGGCTCCTCTAAAGTTGCCAGATCAGACGCTACGACGTTGCCAGTTGCTCATTACTTAATTTAGAGACCTCGAAAATTTATAATTCTTGCATGGGTTCGCATATCATTTCATCGTATGACATGCATCTTGATCTCTGAATTAGGATGTAACGAACGAATTTTTGAAGTGAAAGTCTTGCGTGGCTTTCATTCGGATGGAAAGAAACTTTAATGTCGTACGAGTATCAACTTCTTCATGTTGGGTGGATTGACCCACATAGACAATTTTCGCAGCCGGACTTGACTGTTTTCGCAAGCCCCTTGAAGAAGGCCTAGGTGAAGCGCATCCGAAATCCGCATCCATGTGTGAAACCATTGAAAAGGTCCACGATATCCTGTTGAACGATAGGCATGAGAATGAGCGTATACTTGAAATTTTTGATCAAAAACCGCCATTCTCATTTTATAAAATTGTTCTCACTGCTAACCCGAAAAATCAACATTACGGCTTAATGCCTTATTGAGAAGTAGCAGGTTTATCCCTAGGTAAATAATGCTTTGTAATGTAACGCTCTTTCCTTGGGGGCCACTAAAACTGGCGAAGTACCTGCCTCTCTAGTCCAACAACTCCTCGGGCGCCAGCCTCCTGTTTAAAGTTAAACTACTACTACTTCTACCTCTATTTTTTTGTATCCCTCACTTCAGGCAGGACGGTATTTATTATTAAAAGCAAGGCTTAGAACACAAACTGCTATATAAGTAGGAAATATTTACACTTCTTGCATGGTCGGGATATCTAAAGTTTTATGTTATGTTTACAAATGAGATAAGTCTTTATGTGAATCTAGCTACACTAGTGATACAGCGAAGATGGAGAGCAAACGGTTAACTTCGAGTTAAACGGAATCAAAAGCGGTTAAAGAGCAACGGTTAATGCACTAGGCGGTCAAGCTAGCAAGCGACAATGGTGCGATGCGATAAGCCCCAAAGCGATGAACGGTTTACAGCATTGTGGGTGTCCTCAGGTGGAGGATAAAACCAGGCTTTCATTATAACCCTCGTCTACTTCAAGCTCTGCTTGCCTTGCTCTTGCTTGGATTTCAATCTGAATTCCAGGGAAGTAAGCACACTTGTCGACAAAGATGTACCTCTCTGACTGGCTTCTTGAAGCTTAAAGCTATTATAGAAGTCCTAGAGCCGTGCCGCGTGATGTTGTTAATATACTTTCAAACTTGGCTAAACTGATCCCCGTCTCATGAATGTGTTTACCAAACCTTTAAAGAATAAATTCGGAGACGCAGTAACTATCGCTAGTTTGTGTCGGGATTTTGCCACTCAATAACTCAACCTGTAAACAATTTTATATATGGTATTTGGTTCTTTACTGGGATATAATGAACACAATTAGATATACATATCAACCTGAACTTTTTGAACATTCAGGGACCCAAATACAAAAGATATTACTCGCAAAACGAATCTAAAAAAACACCTTTTAAATTAGGTACAAATCTTGTGTTTCGCCTTTCCGAGCCCCTTCCCACTTCAGTTGGCCCACTGCTAGATTTGTACCAAAATATGCCTTTATAAACTAAACATGACGAAACTATTTACTTCTAAAACAATTTATTTTCTCAAAAACATTTTAGATACACTCTAGTCGTAAATAATACATATTTGAAATCACTGAGACCTATAACTTATAGAACATCTGAACAAATAAACAATGTGCGAATAAATGCGCGAAGTTAACAAAGCAACAATTGAAAGATTACCATTGGGTAACATCACCTTTTTGTTTTGGCAAAGATTTTGTGTAAAACAGTCTCATATTTCTTGAAGCTTTTGTCTCAGTTCGGTGATTGTACGTGCAGGATGTTGTCGTAGAACCTTTTTCATCTCGTGCCATAAAGTTTCAATAGGTAACAGATCTGGACTGCTAGAAACCCATTTCAAAAGTGGTACAT